AACTGAAACCATTTTCTTAAAATCAGGAATAAGACAAGGGTGCCCACTATCCTCACTCCTATTCAACATAGTCCTGGAATTCCTAACCAGAGCAATAAGGCAAGAAGAAGTAATAAAAAGAATACAAGTAGGTAAAGAAACTCAAAATATACCTATTTGCAGACAACATGATCCTATACCTCAAAGACCCAAAACTCCTAGACATCATAAACAGCTTCACCAATGTGGCAGGATCCAAAATCAACTTACAAAAATCATTAGCTTTTCTATACACCAACAATGAACAAATTGAAAAAGAATGTATGAAAACAATTCCATTTACAATAGGCTCAAAAAAAATCAAATGCATAGGAGTAAACTTTTTGTTTTTAATTTTTATTTTTTTATTATTCATATGTGCATACAATGCTTGGGTCATTTCTCCCCCCTGCCCCTACCCCCTCCCTTACCACTCACTCCTCCCCCTCCCTCTCCCCCCCACCCCCTTGCTACCCGGCAGAAACTATTTTGCCCTTATCTCTAATTTTGTTGAAGAGAGAGTATAAGCAATAACAGGAAGGAACAAGGGCTTTTGCTAGTTGAGATAAGGATAGCTATACAGGGAGTTGACTCACATTGATTTCCTGTGCCTGTGTGTTACCTTCTAGGTTAATTCTTTTTGATCTAACCTTTTCTCTTGTTCCTGGTCCCCTTCTCCTATTTGCCTCAGTTACTTTTAAGATATCTTAACAAAGGATATGAATGACCTCTACAAGGAGAACTACAAACCCCTGAGGAAAGAGATTGAGGAAGACTACTGAAGGTGGAGAGATCTCCCGTGCTCATGGATTGGTAGAATCAACATAGTAAAAATGGATATACTACCAAAAGCAATCTACATGTTCAACGCAATTCCCATCAAAATCCCAATGACATTCATCAGAGAGACTGAAAAATCTACCTTAAAGTTCATTTGGAAACTCAAGAGGCCATGAATAGCCAAGGCAATACTCAGCAAACAAAAAGAACAATGCTGGAGGTATCACAATACCCAACTTCAAACTGTATTACAAAGCAATAGCAATAAAAACAGCATGGTACTGGCACAAAAACAGATCTGAAGACCAGTGGAACACAACAGAGGACCCATATATGAATCCACATAGCTATGCTTACCTTATTTTTGACAAAGGTACCAAAAACTTATGATGGAGAATAGATAGCCTCTTAACAAATGTTGTTGGGAAAAGTGGTTGCCTGCCTGCAGAAAACTGAAACTAGATCCAAGCTATCACCCTGTACTAGTATCAACTCAAAGTGGATTAAGGACCTCAATATCAGACCTGAAACCTTGTAATTAATACAGGAAAGAGCAGGGAATACTCTGGAAGCAATAAGTATAGGCAATGACTTCTTGAGCAGAACTCCAGTAGCCCAGCAACTAAGAGAAAGATTGACAAATGGTACTACATGAAATTAAAAGGCTTCTGCATGAAAGAAATGGTCTCTAAACTGTAGAGACCACCCACAGAGTGGGAGAAAATATTTGCTTGCTATACATCAAAGGACTGATAACCAGATATACAGGGAGCTCAAAAACCTAAACTCCCCCAAAATCAATGAAGAAGTGGGCAACTAAACTAAACAGAACTTTTTCAAAGGAAGAAGTCCAAATGGCCAAAGAGCACATGAAAAAATGCTCACGATCCTTGGCCATGAAAGAAATGATTATCAAAACCACACTTAGATACCACCTCACTCCTGTTAGAGTAGCTATCAAGAACACCAGAAGTAACAAATGTTGATGAGGATTTGGAGAAAAAGGAACCCTCATACACTGCTGTTGAGAATATAAGCTAGTACAACCACTTTGGAAAACAATATGGAGGCTTTTTCAAACACTAAACATAGATCTGCCATATGATCCAGCAATACCACTCCTAGGGATATACTCAAAGGAATGTGACTCAGTTTATTACAAAGGCACTTGCACACCCATGTTTATTGCAGTACTATTCACAATAGCCAAGTTATGGAAACAGCAAGATGCCCCACTACTGACAAATGGATTAAGAAAATGTGGTATTTATACACAATGGAATTTTAATCAACCACAAAGAAGAATGAAATTTTGTCATTCACAAGTAAATGATGGAACTGGAGAACATCATCTTAAGCAATGTTAGCCAGGCTCAGAAGGCCAAAAATTACATGTTCTCCCTCATATGCTGACTTTAGACCTAAAACAAATGCAGTAATATTATTGGACATGGGTCACACATTAAGGGGAGAACACGTACAAGAGGAATAGAGAAAGGGAAGGAAACCTAAAACTTGAAAGTGTTCAATGTGCCCACTGTAGAAGAGCTAATAGAGTAATCTTAAACTGACAGAAGCCACTATGGGAAGGTGACAGGGAAGTAATGAAGAGGTCTGGTAGAGAGGAACCAATTTGGGTTGTAATACACTTGTGCATGGAAGCAATGCTAGGAATCTCTCTGTATAGCTATCCTATCTCAAACTATCAAAAACACTATGTCTTTCTTATTAGCTCTTATGTTTTCTCTTCAACAAAATTGGAGAAGAGGGCAGAACAGGTTCTGCCTGGAAGCGAGGGGGTGGGGGGAGAGAGAGGGGGCAGGGGAGAGAGATGGCCCAAATAATGTATGCACATATGAATAAATGAATAAACAATAAAAAATAAAATAACAAAAAATTCTTTACCCATTTTTCCAGATAACATAAAATTTCAGGTAATAATTAAATTTTGTTGAATGGTTCCATAATTATCTTTTGGATTATTCATAACTACCCCATTACAAATCACCACAGTATCATAGGATAGGACACATGTCCATTTAGAAGGCTTATATTTAAGTACTATAATTCACAATTACAATGCTATGGAAATATAGGGTTCCCGTTTTGGCTCTACCATTTAGCAGTTGTATGCATTAGGCAAGTTACTTCTTTGCCTAAGTTTCTTTATCCTTAAAATAGAAGTAATATCTATTATTTATTATGAAATAGTCAATAATCACATCCTGGATAGGAACCCCAAAAATCAGAAGGATAATTAAATTCCCAGTTAATTCTGATATTCAAAGCTATTTAAAAGTCTTGCAGGTTAAGAGTATGGCAGGTTAAGAATAAAGACAGTGGGAGAGTTACAGAAACACACCATTCGAAGATTGCTGATTATCTATGATTTCTGCAAGCAAGAGTCAATGTTCATGGATGCTGATGAAATTGGAATTCACATTCTTCAGTTCTAAGTGGCCAAATTAAAAACCTCAATCTCCCTTCCCTCAATTAATACAAATTATTGGAGAAAGGCCACCATTTTTTGTCTATTCTCAATTAAAATTTAAAATAGCTTATGATGTAAGTCACAAGGCCCTCCTTCACTCAGGTTGCATTGTTTCCTTTTCTATTCATTCTGAGCCGCAAAGTTCATTTCTCAGTGAATCAAGTATAATGAAGCAATAGAGCATACGTTCCCTACAGGAAAACATAAGGTTTTCTGATTAGATTTCTCCAGAGTACATGTACAATTCTTGTACATGTTCAAATAATTAATTAAATGAATACTTGGCAGAAATTAAAGATCAGTGGTACAGCATGGATTATCTGCAAGAGTAAATTTCAAAGTAGTGTTATGATCTTTTATCACAACCATGTTTGAGATAGAACTTGAAGATTGAAACCCTTCAGTCTTACATAACTATTTGTTGCTAGCTGAAAGTGTGATGTAATATCACCACCTCTGTCTCCATCTTCCCTTATCACTTCTTAATTGTGTCAAATTTTAAGGCACTTATTGGACAGTGGGTGCAAATGTCTCATGTATGCTTGAATGTAGCTTTCCATATGGACATTTTCCTACTCCTGCAGCAGAAGGAATGAGAGCAGCTGCCCCTTCAGCACCACCTGCTTCCTTGAACTTGTTCTTGTGCTCACAGCAGGGCTCAGGTATCCAGACGCTTTCTCCCTTTAGACTTGGCTGCTGGCTCATATACAACAGAGGGGAAGGGCTTGCTTAGCTCTTGCATTTTAACCTTATGTTTCAGCTCTAATTATCAACGAACTGCTGTGGGTTGGGGTTTCCAGGATTACCTGAATGGGAAATTAAAAGTATCCTTTGCATTCCCATTCTTCTGTGACAAGAACATATTCCATTCATCCAGGAACTTCCTTGAGAGGTAGTTGTCTAAGACAAATTGGGATTTGAATATTTCTGGGTCTCTTCGCTTAACATCATTTAAAAACACCTCAAAACATAAAGCAGGAGAAACACTGGGAAAATGCTTAAAGTAGAAGGGAAGAAGAAGTGTGTTCCCTCTTTTTTTGTTTCCATGCAGAAGGAAAACAAAGCTTTTTCCTTTGGCATTCACCAAGCATAATTCAAGAGTTTTGCTTCATTGTTTATTTGTGAAGTGCGTTTCTCTTTTGTGTATGTGTGAGTGGTCAGTGGTGTGGTGCTCAGTACTTTCCTTTGAATGGTCCTCAGAGAGACTGTGAGATAAAGGAATTTGAGAATCACTACTCTACAGCTACAAAGTAGATTATCTGTAAACTACACGAAGTAAGAGAGGATCAGGTTCAAGGTCAAAGTCTTTACTGTTTCTATAAATGAAGAAAAGTTTTATTTTAATTTTCACATTGAAAAAAACATACTCATTCTTTAAAATGTCATGTATTTACATCCCTCAGTAACAGTTGAAAAAAACAGAAAAAATATTTAATCTGAAAAATTAAATTTAAAAGTGAGGTCAGGTATGAATACGGAACATTGAAACCAAAGTCATTTTAACAATGGGGAGGGAGAAAAAGGAGAATAACAGAGGGGACGAATCAAATTAGGGTACATTGTATACATATTTGGAAATGTCACAAGGAATTCCCCTGTACAACTATTGCATACTAACAGAAGCATTAAAAATATGGTCATTTCAGTCCACTTGCTTCTTAAAAGTATATTAAGTTCAAGAACAAGAATGAAAGAAAAGAAAATGTCTTACCTCCCATCTCTATCCCAGTCATATACCTCTATTTTGATTGTTCTGTCCATGGGAAAAACATACACATTAAAGGTACTTAGTAAGATCAAAAAAACATGATGAGAATTTAAAAATAAATTGTAGTCAAATTTTCTTAAATAAAATAATGTATGCTTGTAGGTTTCACAAAGTAATCTGAAATGAGGAGGAAGTAATGGAGGGGAGGGCGGTTCACCTGATAAAAACACAATATATACAGACCTGAAGTACCAAGGTGAAACCCTCTTGCCCTATCAATATACACTTAATTTTAAAAAGGGAGAATGAGGGTGTATATGGTAGATGTGTTTTGTATCCATATATGAAAATAGGAGAATGAAATCTATTGTTCTAAGAAAGGGGAAGGAAGGAAAAGGTATAATGATGGAGGGGGCAAATCTAACTAAGATAGATTGTAAACACATATATATCAAAATGTATCCCACTGTACAACTATTATATGCCAATAAAAATCACTTAAAAAAAGAAAAAGAAAATGAATGAGCCAAACTAAATAAAGCTATAGTCTTTTAAATGAATAAAGTCCTAGTCAGATGACATCACAAATTTCCAGGTAAACTTAATGATAAGTGATATATTGGTAACTAACAGTTTCTTGTATTGTACTGGGTAATAGAAAAAACTTCCCTTGAGTGTGTGGCCCTACTCTGTAATCCCAGCTCTCAGGAGGCTGAGGCAGGAAGATCAAGAGTTCCAGTTCAGCCTGGGCTACATAGTCAGATCCTGACTCAAATGACTGACTGAATGAATGAATAAATAAATAAATTTGTTAATTAATTAATTAATGTAAGATTAAAATGACAAAGAGATTGGATTTTTAGTTTTCATTTATTTGCTTTTAATTTGGGACAGTTAGAGATTTTTTATATTATAAACTTACTACAACCTGCCATTAAAAAGAAGTTGACATGAAGAAATATTTTAATGTTTGTGGGAAGAGCTCCAGGACCACCTTACTGAACTATTTGTATAAACACCTGTTCTACATGTACGGAACTTTTATGAATCACCAACTTGAGTGTAGCTATGCCAAATAACATTTTCAAGAGCATTTCAAGGTTGACAACAATTTCCCCATAGTCCTGTACCTCCTGGGTGCCTACTTACCTCAATCCAGAAGAATGTACCATAGGAAAGTCTTAAGGCAATGAGAATTGTAGAATGACTTTTGTACAGTAAGTTAAAGCTTAAATTAATATTCAATATATTTTTAGCAATTTTCATGTGTGGAAAATCAGACAGTTTAACCAAACTTTAATCAGTTCAAATCATGTCTATTCCCCAAATTATGGTAGAATGAATAAGTCATCCATGTTTTTATAAATATTCATTGACAGAGATGAAGAAGCCAGCTTTGTTTTAAACATAATCTGGCCTAGATTATTAGAGCTATAATGAACATTCAAAATCCTCAGAAAAGTTATTTATTTTACCTGTCATAATCTCCATTACACAAGGCTCTGACTGAGATCTTGAATGCTTGCCACACGGGATTTAGAGTGTTTTTGACAACTTCTGTTTTATGACAAATTGTAAAACTGTAAAACAAAAAGTTTTGAGTTACTTTCATGACTTAATTATGATTGTTTTAAGTCACTCCTCTTCCTGTGCAAAATAAATGTTGCCGATCCATCTGTGACTGCTCCATTATTTAATAAAGAGACATGATTTTGAAACTTTTATGACTAGCACACTATAATATAAAGCAACAAGATTTTGCGATATTTTACCTCAGCCAATTTTCTGCAAGTCCAGTGAATTCTAAAGCTATTTTATAAATGATTTCATGAACACTGTGGTATTCAACAGTCACTGACTTGCTGGCTACTTTGTTTAGGGTTAGATCATAATTTCTGTCCTCTTCCTAGTGTCACCTGCTATTTCTATTATTAGAGAAAGAATGTGAAGCTTGAAATTTCACCTCCTAGGAAGGGGACTTATCTCCTTAGTGAGATATTTATGAGCCAGGCAGTCATTTTCCTCCTAGCAATCATTCTTATCTGAAATGCACTAGATATAATTATAGACAGAAAACTCTCACTAGTAAGAATTCCCACACTAAGCATAACGAGAGAAAATTCTGACAGGATTATATAAATGTAAATAAACATATATGGGCATTACAAACAGCATTATAAGAAAAATATTAAATAGTCTACATTGAGATAGTTTTAATGAAACTATTTACCAAAAATACCTCTTCCAAAGGAAAATTACTACCTATTTAAGAATATTAGTCAAGTAGCCAAATACATGTGAAAGCAAAAAAACTAAGAATTTATAATTAGGCGCTTATAAGACTTTTACCTAACATTTCTATTGGAAAATTTGTTTAACTTTTTCTTATAAGATGAGCCCCAAACACATTGGGCTAAAGCATTTTTGAAATACCTCCATATTCCAATAAATGTTAAAAATAAAGAATGTAAAAAGCAAGGAGTTCTGTAAAAGTACTGTTTCTCACTCAAGTCTTGTCAAAACAAAAACAAACATTAATGCATAACATATTTATTAATATATCTATTTGTATCTAGATGTGAACTAGTTTTGTGTGTGTGCATGGCAAAATTTAGATGTGCCAAATTTTAACATTTGTTAATTTAAAAAATTTGGAATTTGGGGATTGCTTTCCTTTAAGAGTCCTCAAATTTTATTAAGTATTATTAATGTATAAGTGTCATTTTCACAAGTATAAATTTTTATTTAAAAAAGCATCACCAGTAGCCGTAAATGTGTGATCTTTATAAATAAAGAAAACTAAGAATAGAGATAGAGAATTCAGGAAATAGTTCAGTCAAGAGAAGATAAGAACACTATGATTCCAGAAATTTTGTACTACTCTTTAATTTCTCTCTATCTTTGAAATGACTAACAAATATAACTGTTATCCCCATAATCTGCAAAAAATAGTGTCAAATTCAAACTACCTGCATAGTATCTTCTCTAATTTCATTTATAAGTGTAGCCATAGTGACAGATTTTTTTCATTATATTTCTTTCACTTTTAATTTCTGGATAACATTTTCTCTTTAGTTAATATTTTATTATCAATAGTTAGGGCAAACAAAGAAGGAAACATCACACCATAAGACAGTAGTAATAGCTAATCTTTAAGATCTTATGTGTCAAGAATATTTCTAAGTTTTTTGTGTAGTAACTCATTTAATCCTCTGTAAGGTGGGTTTGACTATTACCCCATTTTGCAGATGAGGACTCTTTTCAAAATAGGTTTAAAATGTTGCCCACGCTCCCTTAACTAAATCACCGCCATGATCTAAATCTTTTTAACAGAACTTTAACCATATTTTTACCACTAAACTTTCCCATGAATGATAACACTACAATATGAATTACAAAAAAACTACAGTTAAATATATTTAATGGTAGATTTATATGTGTTAAATTATACTCTATAACACAAGGATATATATTCAAACTACACAAAATAAATCTAATCATGACTAGCAAATTTACTAGACTATAATGCAAAATTTTATTGACCTTTAGACAAAGATATTACTGGAAAAAAAACACTAGACCATATAAAAGCAATGCATATAATCCATATCCTTCTCCAAGAAAAATGACTTAAGAATTCACTTCTATGAAAAAAAGTACATTAGTTTCAGTGTTTTGGATTTCTACAAAACATCATTCTTCTGCACTATTAAGACAATGGCATGATTTTATAAAAAAAAAGGAAAGAATAAAGTGTCTCTGTGAACCTGAAAATCACTTTATGTATCAAACATGACATGAATGATTATGGAGCTACACATTTTGAAATACAAAAAACTCATCCATTTTAAAATACAGAGATATTTTACTACATTTGTCAATTTAATGAGCTTCTTTGACAAAAAATAATTCAAATATCACCCTTACCACAGAATTAAAATGAATAAAAGATAAATCTACCTGCCATCTTCATTACTTCGATAAAATACAAGAAAAGGATCTGATTTTCCAAAGAAATCCTTCTTGTCCAATTTGTTTGCACAAAATTGCATCAAAACAGCATCCTGAAAACAAATTAATTAAATAGCTCAAAAGCTTGGCTATAAATAACTAGAAACTGCAGCTCTCAAGCAAGACTTGACAAGAAAACAAATTTGTCATTTTAATGCAAATGGCTATGTGTAAGAAAGTTCCAGATAATATAAAAATGTTTTCTAAAAGATGGTAAAATTTCAAAAATTTCCCTGGTAATTTTCATACACAATACTATTACTTTTCAGAAACTTAACGTTAGCCCCTTGAAAAGTAATATTAAACTAGATTGAGTATTCAGTGTTATAATATAGCATCTTCACTTATTCAGGTACACATTTTGAGAACATAAGTTTTTTTAAAAAATTTCTGTTCTCTCAGAAAATATTTAATAACTGTCTACCACTTATCTACTATGTATTAGATGTTGAGATATATTAAAATGTTAGATGGGAACAAGACAGACTCTGACAATAAGTTTACAACCCAGAAAAGGAAGATTTCCCTTTATTATAAACAATTGCACCATTATGTCTGAAAAACTACATTTAAAAATAATTTACACAATATTGGGGTTTAAGAAAAATAAAGCATTTCTCATTTTCATCTGTAATATAAATATATATTTGTGTGCTAATTATTAGGCCAAACCTATTATACCTATTAACTTATATATTAATGTGTCATAATTACCTGATTTCAATATCAACTATCTGGGTATGATATCAAAGCAATTAAACATTACTCAATGACACAGGATGAGCGTTTTTTTAAATGGTAGGAAATGTATAGTTATTTAAAAACCCAGATCAATAGTTTGGAGATTCATCGTGTTTCTTTAACAGAAAAGAGATTCTAAAAATTTTGGAAACAGATTGAGTACAAAGTAATTAAAATTAAACAAAAGGTCACTGTTTGTAATGTTATTTGGAGAAAATGTCAATATCTAAAAAACACTCTTGCTCACCACTTATTTTTCTTTTGCAGAATCAACCAAGGCTTCTTAATCATCAACCTAAAATTCTCATTATTTTCATTCAGCAATTCCAGAAGACTACATAAAAAATGATGCTTTCTCCCTTTTTCACTCACTGATTCAGTCCTAGATTTCTCATTTTTGAAAGTACTGGTAGAGTGTCGTACTTTATTATTTGGCCGTGATAACTTCTGTCAGAGGCACTTATTAATAAAGCAGGAAATCTGTTCTAGCCAAGCATATTGATGACATACATTTTAAAGGGAATTAAAAGAACAGAGACAATGACAGTAAGACATCACTGTCACTTCAATTAGGATCCATCTTCTTTCAGATCTGAGCAGCCTAGTACTATTAATTAAAGGAGCAATGAGGAGTCACCTTGGATGGCCAGAGTACAAAGTCAAGGGCAGGAATGAGAAGGAAGCACTGTTTTGTTTTGATAAACACATATCTCTATGTATGTTAAAATGCCCTTGGCAGAGAGTGGTTTTCTAAGAACATGGGGCATTCCCACGACGTTGTTTTTGATGCACACTATCACTCTTTTTTTTACACATTCTTACAAAGCAACAGTACCAAAACACAAAATTCCAAGACACATGCCAATATATGTAAAATGCATAAGACAAAATGTATGCACATCAAATTGTGAATAAAACCTCAGAGATTATTATTATTAAAGCATGTATTTTTCATATGATCATTGGTAAACAATACCAAGATATCCTTTTTCAAATTTTATTTCACAAGTCTTACGAAAATGAAGAACTGATTCAAAAATGAGTATTTCTTTCAATTCATAAATTATGTAATATTGAGAAACCTATGATGTTATAATTATCTGGGTGAATAATCAGTAATTATATAATATTGGGAAAACTATGTTTTCATAATTATCTGAGTGAATAATCTAGGGCTGGGTCTGTGGCTCAGTGATAGAGCACTTGCCTATTACGCAACATGCATGGGTTCAATCCATACCACTGCAAACAAAATAAATAAAAAGTTTGTGTTTTGACAGGGCGAGCCTATAATCCCAGTTATTCAGGAGGCAGAGCTTGGGAGGATTGTGGGTCAAGGCCAGCCCAGGCAAACACTTAGTGAGACCTCATCTAAATCAATAAGCAGGGTGTAAACAACAAATGTTGGCAAGGATGTGGGAAAAAGGAACCTCATACACTGTTGGTGGGAATGTAAGCTAGTACAACCATTATGGAAAACAATATGGAGGCTTCTTAAAAAACTAAACATAGACCTGCCATATGATCCAGCAATACCACTCCTAGGGATATACCTAAAAGAATGTGACTCAGGTTTTTACAAAGACAACTGCACACCCATGGTTATTGTAGCACTATTCACAATATCCAAATTATAGAAACAGCCAAGATGCCCCATACAAATGAATGGATCAAGAAAATGTGGAATTTATACACAATGGAATTTTATTCACCACAAAGAATGAAATTTTGTGATTTGCAAGTAAATGGATGGAACTGGAAAACATCATCTTAAACGAAGTTAGCCAGGCTCAGAAGGCTAAAAATCGCATGTTCTCCCTCATGGAGAATCCTCCTTGGATTATAGACCAAAAAACAAATGCAGCAATATTACTGGACATGGGTCGCACACTAAGGGGAGAATGCGCACAGGAGGAATAGGAAAAGGGAAGGAAACCTAAAACTTGAATGTGGTTATCTGCTCACTATAGAGGAGTGAATATAGTAATCTTAAACTGACAGAGGCCACTATGGGAAACAGACCAGGAAGTAGTAAAGAGGTCTGGTAGAGATGAACCAATGTGGCTTGCAGTACATGTGCATGGAAGCAACTCTAAGAATCTGTCTATATAGCTATCTTTATCTCATACTAGTAAAAAATGCTATGTTTTTCTTATTATTCCTTATATTTTCTCCAACAAAATTGGAGAACAAGAGGGCAGAACAGGTTCTTCCCAAAAGGGGATTGAGGGAAGGTGGCCCAAACAATGTATACCATGTGAGTAAATGTAAAAACAATAAAAAAAATAAAAAATAATAAGCTGGGTGTAGTGGTGTGTGCCTGTGGTCTCAACTATGTGAGAGTCTGTAGGTAGAAGGATTATGGTCTGAGGTCAGCCCAGGGAAAAATCACAAGATTCTAAGTGAAAAATAACTAAAGCACAAAAAGGCTGGGAATGTGGCTCAAGTGGTAAATGTGCCTGTCTAGCAAGCATAGGCCCTGAGTCCAAATCCTAGTACCACCTTGTACACACACACACACATAAAATCTAATCTCAGGTTGAAACGCAAACATTATATGCTTAGAAATACATCAGCATCATGCAAAGTTTTGAGTTTTTTACTCTCTTATTCTTAATGTCACCTGAGAGGTTTTTAAGACCGAAATTTAATGCATCACAGCTGCATAAAGAACTTCCTAAGTGGGTGTTCCACAGGTATGTCTAACAAGTTCAAGTCAGAGCACCCAATGTCTCTCTATAAATTTCTCTTATAATCTTCCATCTCAGGAGCAGAATCATCCACCCAAGATCTCAAAGAAGCCATCCCTGGCTCCTCCCTTTGCTTCACTCTTTATCTAATCCACCACAAATTTGCACCATTCTGTCTCTAAAAACTCAGATTTTCATGCAGACTCACTGCCACTCCCTCAGTCTAGGTGAACTCACCTAACACCCAGACATGGGCAGGGCATTTATCCTTTCTCTCTTTTCAACCCTTGGATATAACCAATACATTTTCCATTCTTAAAATATGAAAGGAGTCATGTCGCTGATGACTTAAAATGCTTTAAGACTTTCCCTTGCATTTGGAATGAATGAAGAATTTTTAACATTCTCTATAAAAGCTAATATCAAGACCTGACCAGCCTTTTCTACCTTTATCTGGCAAAGATTTAACTCAATTATACCCGCAACACTACCACTGCCGCTGCCAGCTCCTGGCCATTCCACCAAGACACATAAATTTTCCACATCAGGACCTTACACAAACTGTAATTCTTTATGTTTTGTTGGAATTCTCACTCTGGCTAAAACACTGATACTGGCTTTTAAAGTCTTAGCTTAAATGTCAATTCTCAAAGATAACTAAATATAAATTAAATACCAGTGAACTCTCTCATAATACATTTGAGTCATTTACACATATTATGATATATTTACCTGTACAGTATACTAATCAATGTCTGTATTTTCCCATTGAACTACCTTCATTAAAGACAAAGATCAAACTTCTTTTGTTATTGCTATTGTGTGTGAGTGTGTTTTCTCCAACCATATTCCAAACATTTATTCCAGAAACATAACATTTAGTGAAAATTATTAAATCAACCCACCAATAATGAGAACTAAAAAATATTCTTGGTGGGTATCTATCTTTAAGCGACTTTTAAAATACTTACTGAAGATCCATCCACAATATGACTATCAAATTACATTAGCTTTTATTCTGTCATTTGACTAGGTATAATGTATATGATATTTCTCAATCAGGAAATAAACATTTGAAAAAATAAACATGTATAAATTTGTGATTTATATCTTTCTATCTGTCTAGAAGAGATATTAAGACAATTAGCATTTTATGCATGGGAGTGTAGTTGTGTAGCTCAGTGGTAGAGTGCTTCACAAGTATGAACAAGGTCTTGGGTTCAATCCCCAGCACACCTCCATCTACTTCTCCCCTCCAAAAAAAGATAATTTATAGGAGAAAACATAGGAAGAAACCTTCTTAATGTTGGCCTTAACTATTATTTCTTTGATATGACTCTGAGGTTCAGGCATCAAAAGAAAAAATAGACAAATGGGATCATCAAACTAAATAGTTTCTGTATAGCAAAGGAAACAATCAAAAACAAAATGAAAAGTCAATCTACAGAATAGGAGAAAATATTTACAAACCAAATATCCAATGAAGGATTATGTTCCAAAATACATAAGCATTTCCTATAACTCAATAGCCCAAAATCCTCCCCAAACCCAACACCAAGTCAATAAAAAATGAGCAAAGAAGTGAACAGATAATTCTCCAGTAACGATAAGGAAACGGCCAA